TGCAGATAATCTCAAGAATTTTACATATGTTGCATTGCCTGGACTGTCTCCGGATTTTCTAAATCCTAACAAAAATGAGGGGGATACAACACAATTTCCGGGTGGTGATAGTTGCACAGAAACACAATTGATGGAGGCTGCATCAACGACTCCCGCTCCAACGGATGAGCCGCAAAAACGTAAATCACGTCTTCACCGTAGTGATGACTGTGAAATGATATTAGAAAATTGCTTAGAAAATTGTTTTTCAAGTATAGCCAGTACCAGTTCTGGTGCGTCCACACCATTGCACTCTGCTGTTGGTGGCGGTGGTGCGTCGTCCGGTATTAACTACTTGAAATCATTGCAACCAATGGCATTGAATATACCATCACAAACTAAAGACTTTCTACAGACTGTTTTGTCCTGGAATTTACTGCCTACCGACGCACCTGCAGCGCCATCAATGATTTTTGGTGCTCCACATTTGGCCAGATTAATTGGTAAGTTTCTTAAATTTTTGTGTATAAGAGCATACTTTTAATTGATGACTTGTGTTCCAAAGTAAACGGGTATCTATCCGAACTTTCTCGCTTCTTCACTGCAAGGAGCCTAACCCTCTCCTCTACAAAATCAGCCTGACCTCCAGGCTACCGCTGGGAATTCACGTCGATGATACACCAATTCCGACGGTGAATAACCCCAAAATACTCGGAGTAACCTTAGACAGTCTGCTCTCTTTCTCTGCGCACGCAACCGCTATTGTCAACAAAGTACAGAGTCGTAACAAGGTCCTCAAGTCGCTAGCCGGCAGTATTTGGGGGCAAAGACAAAAAAACGTTGCTGGAAACATAAAAGGCGATAGGCCGGCCGGTTTTAAATTACGCAGCACTAGTGTGGTCGCTGGGGACTAGTAGGACGCATTCACAGGGAGTCAGTCTCGAGTTATGTAGACTCCAGACCTGTGAATGCCTAGGCACACAACCACCGGACATCGACGAGACGGCGCTTCATCTGCCTCGGGAGACTAGAACTACAATAGCTCAACTTCGCTCTGGCTACTGCACCAGGCTAAACACACACCTGAGCAGATTAGGCGCAGATGTGCCAAATGAGTGTTCGGCATGCGGAGAGACACCCCACGACTCGAAACATCCGTTCGTATGCCCAGAAAACCCGACAACACTAACTCCTTTGTTCCTGTGGACCGACTCCATTGAGGCTGCACCTGGGGCTTCCGTTAGTGGAGCTTGTCGACAACGACTGTAGCCGCTACAACAACAACAATAATAAAAGCTTGAACAAATAGTTGATTTACGGAGTTTTTTCGGGGATATTCGAGATTTTTTTTAGCGGTATCTGGATTTTTCGGAATATTTGCGGTGCTTGTTGATATCTTTTAAGAGTTTAAAAGACTTTTGGTTTTGTATTTTTCAGAATATTTAAAAATTTTTCGGGACAGATCGGAATTTTTTGGGACTTTGTAAGATTTGTCAGTGACTTTTCTTGTTTCATTTTTTCGAATTTTTCCAACATTTTTGCTATACTTTTCATGTTGGCGGCTTTGCGAGTATTTTTGGGGTTTTCTAGATTTGAACGAATTGTTTAACGCTCGGTTTTCCAATTCAACGATGAAACCAAAGGCGATATCTCCGAGCCTATATTAAGTACATATATTTTATGTATTTATTAAGCTTTCGGTGCTAGCATTGCACCCTCATCAGAATTACATTAAAATAGGCAAAAAATTGAGACTAGTGCTGGATACACGAGATTATTTTCGTACTGCATGTAAGCTTATTTAAGTAATTCACGTAACCGGACCCAGATTTATATCTGACCAAGGACGTGTCACTCCAGCAACACTCTCCAAAAACTCTTTGGAGAATTGGTATGCTGTTACAACAACAACAACAACAACCGGCAACAATGTGATCGTTGACAGTCAGTTCGTTAGGAACTCAGCCATACATCACTTGGGTTTTTTTAATTCTCATTGAACGGAATAGTAATGCCTTGCTTCCCTGAATTTAGATACATAGGACTCTTTAAAAATTTGGCTACAGTACCTAGATTTAATAGATATTTACTAGTTTTACTTTTGATAACCTATCAGATAGTACATAATCGTCGACTGAGTGGAAGATCGCGCTATCTCGGCTGCCGTCCGGAAATGTCCCATCTCAGCAAGAAGAACGCCACATGTTGTTGTTGTAACAGCTTACAATTTCCCCAGAGTTTTTGGGGAATGTTTATGGAATGCAATCTTTGGCCAGACATGAATTTGGGTCGAACCGGTTACATAGTTCCGACTGTCGCGGGAACGCTCCTTCTCAGAATTTGCATGAAAAACGACATATCTCAGCTGCCGCTACCAAAACGCCGTATCTCAATATACATTCAATATACCGGCAGCTGAGGTAGAGCGTTTATGAACTATTTACTGAGGTAGGCCGTTTTTTAACCAAATTTTGAAATAGGGCGTTTTTTAACCGTTTGCTGAGATAGCCTGATCCTCCGTTCACCCGTCGTTAAACCACACATAGCATCGTGTTCTAAATAATCATATATTTATAGTGAAACTGCCGGAATTTTTAAACGCCTCTTCAATAAACGATGATAAACTTAAAGTTTTACTACAGCACCTGGATACTTTCGTTAAGTAAGTTTACTTTAAAACTTTTGATAACCTACCGTATGAAATTTTCTTCTAGATAAATATCTATGTATGTACATACATATTTTTATCAAAACAATTCTTTATTTTCACAGTTACTTAGAAGCACGCAAAGAATGGTTCAATGAAGATAATTATGCTCGCTCGAACGCAGCACGCAAGCGGGCGAATTCCAGCGAAGGAGTAAAATCAACTTTGACCGATATCAGTAAAGAAACGCTTGATGCGAACTTGCAGCAAATACCTACGACAACAGCAATGAATTCAACTGCGACGTCAACGGCGACATCATCAGTAACGGCAGCAACTGTGACAGCAACGACAACAACAACAACCACTGTTGCAGCTATTGCAACATAAAATTATAAAAAATACATATGTATAAAGAACGCACTCAATAAATATATACAGTTAGTGTCAAATGTAAGTGTAGGTTCCTTGTTCTAATATAATACACAATTATTTTCATGAAAAATTGTTTTCATTAATTATTTATGAAAATATAGTTGATTCTTAAACATAAACCATATGAATCAAAGTTTCACGCTTTATCTTAAGTTCACAAAAATTCAAAAAAATATTCAGAAAAATTTGTATTTAGAATATCTGGAAAATTTGCGAGTGTGCAGTTTTGTAGCCCGTTCAATTTTAGAATTGTTTTTGTGGAGGGTGTTTCGCATTTTCATAAAAATAAATTTTGAGCACGCGCTATTTGGAAGAAAATGGGCAACACCCTCCACAAAAAAAAATCTTAAAAAATCAACGGTAATTTCTAGCGACTTGAAACTTGCACTCTGCTTACTAAAATAAAACTGGCTATTACACTACATACTCGAAAATTTTCTAGAAATTCTGAATAAATAATTTGAAATTTTGATGTAAATTGTTAGATTTTTTCTGAACGTTATATAAAGTGAGAAACTTTGATTTATACGGTTTATGTTATATAATAAACTATGTTTTCATAAATAATTAATGAAAAAAATTGTTCATGAAAATAATTGTCAATACATATTATATTGCAAGATGTGCACTTACATTTGACACTGAGTGTATGTAAGGCACACAAGCGAAATGAACGTAAATTTAGAAACAAGTTTTATTTTTACAAAACTGTGTATCTTAACAATTACAAGTATTTTTAATTATAATTTTAAAGCTTTTTCATTCTATTCACATTAAGATATATGTACGTTTGTGTGTGTCATTGTTAAATACATTTGTTGTTTTTTTTCTTTACTTTCAATTATCACCACCACACTTGCATACATACATACGCGAAATATGTATGTAGACAGACAACTACTACAGTCTTGCACACTTTGTGTTGTTGCCAAAAGCGTTTGTGAAATAAATATTACTTAAAAATTATTATCAACTTGAAATATTTTACGTTTTTAATTTCTGATTAAAAGTTAATGATTGCAAACTAGCTAGCAGAGCTTAAATATTAGTAAGTAAAATGGCTTAGTTTCATTAATCGCTTTATTTTGCTTAATTTAATAACTTAGTAGACAATTTTTAGTGTATTAGTTTTATAATTTTCGAAAATCGAAAACCTTTAGTGAATTCTCATGTTATTCTTNTGGTACCTCAATCTGAATCCAATTATTGTTAACAAATAGATATTTAAAGAAGCAACAATCAAAAGTGATCGAAAAAATGTAAATCCAATAATTGCTAAAAAATATTTAACTTCGAGCAAAAATTAAAACAAAGACGAATAATGGTACGTAATAGGGTGATTGATTCGGGTTTTCCAACCGGTTTTAATCGTTCTTTTGAATATTTTTAATCGGTTTTTTGAAATCCTGATTTTCGAATACCGAGCAAACCGGATTTTTACAATCGAATAAACCTGTTTTCACCTAGTGTACTAATATACCACAATCTGAAAATTCTAAATATTTATTTTATTAAAAATGGAACTAGCAAATCTTTATTTATATTTCATATCTGGATTCTGGACAATTTTCAAGAAACTATTTAAAAATTTAAAGGGGCGTCGTATTCAAATTGGACAGAAAAGTTTAACCTGTTACAATATTCAGAATGGAGTTATGTGAAAGTATCGCGAGCCTCACGAAGTAACTCGAGCGCTTCGTCTAATGATGGAATTCAAGGAGCGAGAATTGACGAGAGTAGTCGATCTGGTTTAGCTGGCGGTGTGTTATTCCCAAGACAGTCGATTCTACTTGCTCAAGTTTTTCCCGAAAAAGGACTGTTTAATCTTGTTAAGATCGGCGAACCCAATTGAGTGTGAATTTTTCACTAATTTTATCGGGTTTACTTGATTTTTAAATTAAACTTTCTATTTTTAGCAGTCATATTGNCATATCTGGATTCTGGACAATTTTCAAGAAACTATTTAAAAATTTAAAGGCGCGTCGTATTCAAATTGGACAGAAAAGTTTAACCTGTTACAATATTCAGAATGGAGTTATGTGAAAGTATCGCAAGCCTCACGAAGTAACTCGAGCGCTTCGTCTAATGATGGAATTCAAGGAGCGAGAATTGACGAGAGTAGTCGGTCTGGTTTAGCGGGCGGTGTGTTATTCCCAAGACAGTCGATTCTACTTGCTCAAGTTTTTCCCGAAAAAGGACTGTTTAATCTTGCTAAGATCGGCGAACCCAATTGAGTGTGAATTTTTCACTGTGTGAATTTTTCACTAATTTTTTTTGTTTTACTTGATTTTTAAATTAAACTTTCTATTTTTAGCAGTCATATTGTATGTTTGGTAATGACTTTTGACTAACAGTAAGTGCTACTATAAAAAAAAATATGCAAAAAAATAACACCGGTTTATCCGGTTTTTTCTTAATTTCAAAACCGGTTTTCGAAATAACGCGAATAAACGAACTGCTCACTTCACGTAAAAAACAACGGGTAAAAAACAACGATCGAGTTATAATTTCTAGTATTAGAAAAATGATTACCATTACGGTTCACGATTAAGAACACCCCCAATGCACACATACCGAAGCACACATTTACAAATACATATATACATAAATTCTCCCCCTCTATCCGAACCTATTTGGTTCGCTTGGTGACGCTTGACGCTGTTGGTCGCATAAAGCTGCTCATGCCACGACTACTCGAACTACTTCGGGTGCTACTATTCGCACGTGTGTGCGTCGTCGATTGCGGTGCGGTCTGTTGTGACATGGTCGCTTTGACTAGAACCGCGCTGCGGGCCAAATTTGTGCGCGTTGGCATGCCATTTGTTTGATTCTCCTTGAAACTCGCGCTGCCCAAATGCACCGAGCGCTGACTACCACCTCCACCACCGCCACTACCATTACCCGTTACTTTGCGCGTCACCACAACATGCTGGCCAATACTGGAACCACTACTGCTACTACGACTTGCCGGCACGGTCGACCGATTCGCCGCCACATTAGCCGTAATGCGCAGGTGCGGTGGCACATTATTTTGCATACTTAGTGGCCGCTTGCTGGGTGATGAATCAACTGATACCGTTTGTAACGGCGTTTTACTCACGACGATCGGCATACGACGTACTGTATTGGTCGAAACACCGCTGTTGATGGATGAACGCGATGAACGCAGGCTATTACGGGAACTGCTACGTTCTACCTCGCGTCGAACTGCATGAATTGGTGAGGTGTTGACACTTTGTGTTGCATCTGGATGTGTGGCGCTGCCTGGACGACGCATCGAATGTGCACGCCTTGCTGCATTGCTGCCGGTGATGCCAGGGCCGCCGCCGAAAACCGGCTGCGCAACTGTTGGACCGTTTGTTGTGCGGAATGACCGACTACGATCCATTTGCGTGGAGTTTGGCGAACGGCGCGTTGTGCTCGCTTGCGAGTAGGTGGAGATGGCTGGAGTTTTGTGTGGCAGCACGTTCCGCAGCTTAGCGATTTGTAGACGATCCGCAAGTCTATTCGAGTTGTGTTTGGCGGTGGTGGGGGTGCTGGACTTTGGTGTTGTAGTTTTTGTCGTGGAGGTTCTTGTGTGTGGCGCAACGAGTTCGGTGGCGCCATTGCAAGACGAGTTCGTGCTCTCCTTGCCTTGCGATGGCGTATCCGATACAAGACTTTGGGTCTCTTCGAAGCCTTCGTCATTGAGCTCATGGCTGGATAACTTAATGACTGTAGCGCCATGCGCGCTTTGACTGGTGTTTTGGGCAGATGACGTACTTGTTAAATGTGTGTTGATCATGTCGCGTGGCGGACTCCATATCCGATCTGGCGTATTCGTTGGTGATTTGAGATTTCGTATGGCTTCTTGTACATCTTCCTGATTGATTGAGCTAATGTGGCGACCAACTTTCTCCAACTTTGTGATCGTGCGTCCCGAGTGTGGTTTCGAAGCAACGTTTGTTGTGGGTTCATCCAATGCAGATTTTTCTATTGGAATGTTATTCTTAACTGGAGCCTCTTGACCTACGCCATGCAGCCTTTCCATGTCGCCAGCGCTCGCTGACTGCCGCACATTATTCGAGTCATTTGTGTCTTTAGTTGATAAGAAGTCTTCATTANACTGGAGCCTCTTGACCTACGCCATGCAGCCTTTCCATGTCGCCAGCGCTTGCTGACTGCCGCACATTATTCGAGTCATTTGTGTCTTTAGTTGATAAGAAGTCTTCATTGCCGCTACTGTAATCTGTGGGACGCTTATAACGTCTTGTGCGCCTTGTCGCTGAATAACGATCAAAGAAGCCTGGTATATCCTGCTCGTTAGACTCCTGGCGTTCCCCTTGCTTCCCTTGATTGCTTTTAATCTTATCCAGTCCATTATTTATGGTGACTAAGGTTTTATTTGGTGTGGCGATGACACGTCGCGTTACCGGCGGCGTTTCTATGTTGTCTGCATCAATCTCTTTGCGACTATATTTTTCATTGTGACTCCTGTTTTCATTGTGATGCTGACCTCGCGTATTGTCGGCTTTGTAAGCGCTCTCGTTTTCTAATGAGCTACTTGTTAATATTCTAAGCGGTGATTTTCGGCTATCAGCGCATACTTTGGCATCGCTATTTGTTTTCACCAGCGGCGTTGTAACCGCTGGTGGCGACGGTGACTTAACGACTTCCGCTCTTTGCTTTATGCTATTGTCTGTGACCTGCTCTGCCTCCTTCGACGACGGGTTACGTATGTAAATCTGTAGTATATCGGATGCCTCTCGCTCACCCAGTTGCTGTATATACGATCTACGTCGATCTTCTTCCTCAATGGACTTAAGTGATGTGGCACGCTTTTCCGCATTTTCTAACGAGCGTTGACGCCTATATTCACGCAGTTCATCAGCGGTTGTAAAATGTTGATTTTTGGCAGATTGAGGTTCTTGCGATTGCTCATTGTCCATTTCCACAAGCTCGCTATTGCGGCTACCTTTACGCCAGTGTGATTTGTCTCTCGCATTGCTCACATCTGGAAGTAGATATTCAAAGGAGGTTCAATTAGGTTTTAGTCAAAAAAAAAAAAAAAAAAACAAGTAAGAAAGTCTAAGTTCGGGCGGAGCCGAACATTAAATACCCGGCGCAAGTATTAAATATATGTNCTGATCATTTATGTATACATTTGTCTATATCTATCTCGATTCGTTTTGGCTGTTACAAACAACCGTTATGTGAACAAAATTAATATACCCTTGTGCACAAGTGCGCTCGGGTATAAAAAGTGCAAGTTCGGCCGAAACCGAACTTCATATACCCGGCGCACGTGTTCGTAAAGTATACTATGTACCGTTATTGGCCGATTAAAAAACTTTCAAAGTTTACGAGTATCAAGTTGCAAAATTTTATTTCATTCAATTCAATTTTCAGAAGTTTAACATGAGGTCTAACTGAAATATTGAATTTGTCAAAAATAATGTTATATAGTAGAGGGTCTGTGTTACTGTTGATTGGTTGAAGTGCTTCCTAGTAGCTGACTAGCATTCAATTAGCGCATTTTTTCGCCATTTTGATGCACTTCTCGTCGGAAAGTTTTGACTATGTACATACATTAGGGTGGAGCGTTTTTTTAAAATTTATCGAAAGATAAGGGCCTTGAGGCGACCGAAAATATTATCCTATTGGAAAACGGTTTAACGAGTGAAAAATCGGACATATCTTGGCAGCCGTTTCGAAAATGCCCTACCTCAGAAAATGGCTAAAGAACGCCCTACTCCAGAAATTGGTTGAAAAACACCCTATCTCAGAATTTGGTTAAAGAACGCCCTATCTCAACTGAAAATATATTGAACATATTTTAATATGGGGCGCTTTTGATGCGGTAGCTGAGCTAAGGCGTTTTTGAAACAAATCCTAAAATAGGGCGTTCTTGAAAAATTTTCTGATATAGGGCGTTTTCGAACCGGCTGCCGAGATAGGTCGATCTTACATTCAGCCGTCGATATATTGTTCCTTTTATTTTGGACCCGACTCTATTGCCTAAGATTTCTCAATCGTAGTTAAACGGCAACAACGGGCTCGGATAGACAGACATGGCTCAATCGGCATCTCTATTCAACTGTTCGGTATATGTAATATTGTGTAATATTTTTTGGACAGTGAAAAAAGATGCGTGTGAAAAGTGAAGCCTTCTATATTAAGATGTAGATGTCGCTCATCGCGAGAGGATGAGGGAGCTCTTAATGCTTAGCAGGGGAGAAATCTTTTTAGCTACGGGTCTGCTGACCGGTCACGTCACTCTAGGAGAGACTCGGGGTGCCATTCAATGACTTCTGCAGGAGCTGCAGAGATGAGGAGGAACCTGAATCAGTAAAGCACCTACTTTGCGGATGTCCCACGTTGGAAAGGAGCAGACTAAGGTTTATGGGCGCCAGAACCATTGGAGACCTGAGCGATATAGCGGACATAAATATAAGGCTATTGCTCCAATTTTCCAACTCCATACTCTGGTTTGTATAGTAGAATGAGGGGAGGGATTGCCGAGATCCCTTGTGGTACCATAACGAGCCCATTGATGGGCCTAAATGAGTTGGTGTGTCTACCAGCAGCCACTGCAACCTAGCCTAACCTATTTTTGAAGGAAATTGAAGGCTTATGATTTTTAAATAAATTTACTCTTCCAAAAGTTACTCAACGCTAAAGTCGAATTTATAAAAAGTAAAGTTTTTTTTTTTAATTTTCGGCAAAATATTAAAACTTATCACTAAATATAATAAAATTTTTCTTGGAAATTGTATAATTTTGAATTTTCTATCAAAAAATATAATTTAACTTAACCCGCATCCATCGGAAATTTTTTTAATTTGTTTTCAAAATTTGTATTTTGTGAAGATTAACACTGTTAAAAAAAAAAAATTATATCGTATAGAAGAATATGTCTAGCAACGTCAGAAAAAATTTGCCAAAAATCAAAGGTAAGTCTAAAAGCATAGACAGACGGCAGCATTGATCCGGATTAACTCGTTAATTCGAAATTATTTCGGAAATCGACTGTAGTTGATCTGGAGCAGCTAATGCGGCTTTCCCACGGCAGCTTTCTCTTTCGTAGTTCGCACTCCAATTCAGTGTTGCCATCTTTTGATTTTCAAAAAGCACCAAAAACTTGGAAAAAAGTTGTTTACCACACTAAAAGCACCCAATTTTTTTTGAATCAAGGGATGCTTTTTTCATAACATAATACCAAAGTACTGCACATTAAAACTAGCATATCTCGAGAAAAAAAATCGAATCGCAAAAAACGAAAATGATGCCCTAATTAGAAATGAGCAAATAATTTGATGTTTTTATTATATAACCTCAAATATCGCTCAAAACCGTGTTTTTGGCACTTTGGGGTTAGGATATCTCAAAATTCTAGTGCTAGAGCAATTGTGAGGCCAGATTTGGATTCAGCACCAAGAAACGATGTGTTTTACTCAGGTGGTAAAAAAAAAACAAAATCTGTACAAATAATTAGAAAAGAAAAAAAGAAATTCTTAACTTACTTGAGTACTAGCATTTTCAACGCGAATAGAATTTAACAAGGTGGGTTTGCAACTTCAGCTTTTTATCAATCATGGTTGTATTTTAGTCCACTTAAATTTGTAGATTCTTGTAAATTCAGTGCTGCCACAGCTTTAAATATTTCAAATTATTCCAGGTTTTAATTTTAGTTCAGAAAAAAGCACTAAAAAAGGTACTAGGCACTAAATAATTTTTTTGCGTTTTAATTTTCAAAAAGCACTAAATCTAGTGCTTAAAGCACTAAGTTGGCAACTATGCTCCAATTGCCTTTCGAATTATGTAATTCGCCATACAAAATTTTGAGATCGAATGTGCCCGTGGGAATAGGGTAATTCGCGATCGTAATTGGGGAGCGAACAGAGTAATTCAGGATGCCGTGGGAAAATGGTATAATCCTCAAAGTCAATACGGAACAGGGGAATTTTCGATAAAGACAGCGAGTTTGGCGTCCGCGGTAGCCGAATGGTTTGATCCTCAGTCCGAGCGATTGCCGAAAATTTTTCATTTTTATTTTTATTTTTTAGTTTTATTTTATTTGTGTGTATATTTTACTTTACTTTCTTTTGTTTATTTCTATTTCACATTATTTATACATTTAAAAATAAATAAAAGTAATAGTGAAATTAATTAAAAAACAAGTAGTGAAAATTCGACTGACTGTGGGACTCGAACTCACGACCTCGCGGCTCGTTAATCCGCATTACTGCCGTCTGTCAGGGTACAATTTTATCGAATCAACTGCGTCTTTAATTCGGCGCAAATTAACGTTGCCGTCTGTCTATGCTTTTACACTGTCGGCTACAAGCGACAAAAAGTCGCATATAACGCTGAACTTAGTTTTTCTTTCGATCGATAAAAGTATATACATATGTACATAAGTGCTTAAGAGAAGCGGATTCGCGAGGCGCGCTTCAATACCCGCCGAAAGGACTATTATAAACAACTATTATGCGAACAAAGTTTTGCACTTCACAAGTTAACAAATGTGCTCGGGTATAGAAAGTTCAAGCAAACATTGCGAGCAGTAACCACAAAAAAGGTAAGCGACATTTAAATTTTTTCCTATAGCAGCATTTTTGCATCAAAAATCCGATTTAAAAAAAAAAATGTCGCTTACGTTTTTTTTTTGGCGGTAAGAGCTCCATTACCTACCAGCAATAGCCTGTATTGTACCAACAACATCGGTGTGTTCAATCGTCTTCGATGGTTTCCAGTCGGGATACACACGTTTATAGTTATTCGCATTATTGTTAGTGCAGTTATTGTTGTTATTATTGTTGTTGTTATTAGTGTTGATAGTATTTTTGTTGCCAGCTTGTGCTGCATTAGTAGAATTCGTAGTAGTTGGTGTTGTAGGCATAATTTTCTCCTCTGGTAAGGTATCCAATTTTCGTTCGCTATCTAAAATTGAAAGACACACATTGAAGGTAAATGCAATTCCTCTTCGAATATTTGGTTGCCGTAGCTNAGCCGTAGCTTTTTTTTTTTTTTTTTTTTTTGTTAATTACCTGTATCGTTTTCAAGCGATCGCCTATTACTGTTAACCAAACGTCGCTTACGTTTGAATTCTTCGTTTTGCTTCTCATCGTTCTCGTTGGACTGCAGCCAATTTTCGATTTTTTGTCGAAATTCACGGGATATTCTATGTATCGAAATCAGGGTTAGTACTCCCAGAATAGCATCAATAATATCAACACTGTAAGCCGCACGCCTTTAGTACACTCACCTCGGTTTCGTATCCTCGCTGGCTTGCTGCGTGGGAGAGGGTGTTGTGCCACCACCAGCTTGCGGTGAAGATGGCGATTTTTTATCCATAATCAACATTGGCGCAGGCGAACTGGCGCGCTCACGTTCATCGCTGAAGTCAACATTTAATAGTTCGGGACGTTTACGACTAGAACTGCCAGAACGTGCACGACGGGCCCAAGAGCGATCTGTTCGCATAAAAAAAGAAAAATGCATATAGTTAATCGATGTATTTGCAAGAAGCTAATGCAAGGTGCATCAGGAATAAGTATGTTACTAAGAGGGTTAAAATTAAAAGCCTTAACACTTCCTCAACATGGCTCCTAAGAGAATGGATCTGAAATTATTAACTAGTTTGATCTTCTCGTTATCAGTTCATTTATGAACCCAAAAGCATCTCGACCGATAAATGGACAGACTTTGCTTCCGAGAATCATCGTACTTTGTATCAACTCCAGCAAAGCTGACTAACGTCCAAAGTAGAGGAGCGTCAATTTCGGAAGGTGACTACCGCTGCAACAGCTGGCTACTTTCCATCCGGACGCTTGGCGACCAGAAAATGTGGGAAGACAACCTTTAACTTCACCTCTGGTGTGGGCATCCTTTGCTCGACCGTAAGGCCCCTGTCCAACGCGGTCAAGCGCGATGAGAAATTAAAAAGTTTTTTTTACTGATTGCGCTTCGTCGAACTCGAAGCAATGCTCAGGCTATACCGCAATTTTATTCTTCGGTGGATGATGCCAAGCGTGGAGTGAGGAGAATGTTGCACAAACTGTCAAGATGAAGTGCGTGTATTGCTTTCACCAGCGACGAATTTAGGGTGTCACTGGAAAGAAAAAGCATCCAAAATTGTCCTCCGGGAGTAGGCTATCACCAACGTTCTAAACCTCTCGATTACCGCTTCTATCATTTTTGCATTGTAAAAACAAGGCAGACCTTAGGCCTCCATTATTAAGTCAACGAAACTTGTCCAGCAAAGAGGAGAANCGAGAATCATCGTACTTTGTATCAACTCCAGCAAAGCTGACTAACGTCCACAGTGGAGGAGCGTCAATTTCGCAAGGTGGTTACCGCTGCAATAGCTGGCTACTTTCCATCTGGACGCTTGGCGTGCAGAAAAAGTAGGAAAATAACCTGGAACTTTACCTCTGGTGTGGGCATCCTTTGCTCTACCGTGAGGCCCCAGTCCCACGCGACCAAGCGCGATGAGAAATCGGAAAGTTTTTTCACTGATTGCGCCTCGTCGAATTCGAAGCAATGCTCAGGCTATATCGCAATTCTTTTTTCTTCGGTGGATAAGGCCAAGCGTGGAGTGATGAAAATCTTGCAAAAACTGTCAAAATTTAGTGTGTGTATTGCTTTCGCCAGCGACGAAGTTAAGATGTCACTGGAATGAAAAAGCATCCAAAATTGTCCACCGGGAGTAGGCTATCACACCAACGTTCTCCACTTGTCGCTTACCGCTTCCGTCATTTTTGCACTGTAAAAACAAGGCAGATCTTAGTCCTCCATTATTAAGTCAACGAAACTTGTCCAGCAAAGAGGAGACGTGAACACTCTTGAGGCCTTGCTATTATCATGGCTTCCGTAAAGTGCACAGCATCATCAGCGCACTTAATGTCTAAAACATTAAGATAATTCTTTCCTTATCCGTAACAATCCCTGTGAGAAGCATCTTAGCTTTGGACTTGCCGAACGCTTTAGTCACCTTTTGTCAGTTCACGCCACTAGAAGACAACAACGTATCCTCTTCCTTCAGGGCCTGTGAACTATCTGAGTGGCCGGCAATCGTCAGTAACTGCTTGGAATTAAATAGATGATCACACAGGGTGATATCCTCTTTCCGCATTTATTTNCAGCGCACTTAATGTCTAAAACATTAAGATAATTCTTTCCTTATCCGTAAGAATCCCTGTGAGAGAAGCATCTTAGCTTTGGACTTGCCGAACGCTTTAGTCACCTTTTGTCAGTGCCGCTGAGTGGCCGGCAATCGTCAGTAACTGCTTGGAATTAAATAGATGATCACACAGGGTGATATCCTCTTTCCGCCTTTATTAAATTTGAATATATCGAAGCTTTCCCAGCCACCAGGTGGAAGTGCTCTGTCCTTCCTTCTCCCCGATCTGGCTTCACCGAGCTTATTAACCGCAAAGACCCTAAGCCTGTGACCCACGTAAGAATCGGCCAACATCAGCCCGAAACTTCTACCAGTTACCTCTAGTTGAGCTTGACCGACCGGTCTCTTTCTTAGTGCACAAAATCAGAATCGCTAATAAAATATATTTTGCGNAATTTGAATATATCGAAGCTTTCCCAGCCACCAGGTGGAAGTGCTCTGTCCTTCCTTCTCCCCGATCTGGCTTCACCGAGCTTATTAACCGCAAAGACCCTAAGCCTGTGACCCACGTCCCACGTCGGCCAACATCAGCCCGAAACTTCTACCAGTTACCTCTAGTTGAGCTTGACCGACCGGTCTCTTTCTCAGTGCACAAAATCAGAATCGCTAATAAAATATATTTTGTGCTGCAACAAAGTCCTCAAGCCGCTCGCCGGCAGCACAAAAACAAAGAAACGTTATTGCCAACCTCTACCCATCTACATTTGACGGATCCCACACATAACCGGCTTGTCAAGTTACCCCAACCACCAATGACCAACCGCCTCTTCATTTGCCCCCTTAAACACACTCGGCTAACACTACTATCCGACGCCGGTCCAATCCCGTCGAAACAGCACGTTTCTTGGGCCTACCGTTAGTTGAACTTGCCAACCCAAATCTTACTTACCCAAGCTCCCATATGCTTTACGATCCCGGCTAATATGTTCGTGGCCCGAAGTGCGCAGAAACTCCATAAGATCATCTTCTTCGGGCAACACACGACTAGGTCGTCTCTTACGCATACTACCATTCGGTGTAATACTGGGTGATATACCATCAGACGTCTCGAACATACGTTCGATGCTACATTGGTTTTCGGAATCCGATACTGGCGTGCCACATTGGCTAACTGTTAATGTAAGATTTCACACGATTAAGTCTAGGCACTTGACAATCTTTAGAACTCTTATTATTCTTACGTTGTCTAGCGCGTCTAGCCAGCTGTTCTTCACGTTGTTTCCGCCTCAGCGTTGCTTGCTCTTCCAACTGCTGTCGGCGCTCATTCTCTTTCACAGCCTGTTTAAATTTATCACAGAATGATTGGAATACTTTGAAACATTCCTCCAATTTAAAGTGTGCTGCATCTTCGCAAAAGAAATCTGCTAATTTTAAGCGCATCACTTCCACTTCCTTCATGTTTGCTTGCAGCACAGCCACTTCACGTTCGGCACCCTGTAGAATTAGTTAATATGTTTAAGAAAAGCTTTATACAAGTTTGTTTTTTTTATAAATGTTGCAACCTCCAAAAATTCTAGCATTTGTTCCTTAATCTCATCCTCAGTGGTGGGCAGTTCGATCTGTCTTTTGATTTTACGTATACGACTATCGAGGGCATTTATCTCGTTATTTATTTGCTCCGCCGTTGTTCTAAAAATTCAAGGGTTCAATTAGGAATGCATCTGAAGTCGAACTTTCGTTTTTTTTTTTTCAAATATGTATGTAACTTACTTTGAGGCATTCTCCAATGTAGACAACTGTGCTGGGAATGTCAAAAGTTCTGGATTCCGTTTTTCTGCCTGCATAGCCACAAAGTGTATAAGATTGATGCCCGGCTTATTGGCGCGTATATCGGTAAGCTTTTGAAGCGAAGAGAGCTTGACGCCAGCTGCATTGCCAGCATAGCCGCCCGAATTGAGAAAATTGCCAGCTATTACGACCATATACAGTACTTCCTGCAGCATTTCGTTGTCCATTAGATCTGAAAGAGTAATGAAAACAATAATTTTTAGGTCCAGCACAAATCATGGAGATGCTGATAGTGTTTAACCTAGGCATACTTGCGCATGATTGGAGAGTGATCAATACCGAGAAATAAAGCGAACATTCTGCCGAAGTGCGACAATAAGCACAATGGGTCAGAAGACAGAAAAAGTGGCCAAAATTTTTGCTGGGCCATTTTAAAAAATCAGAAAATAATATTTGTATTTCGAAAAATACCAGGTGTCCAAAAATTATAAAAAATCCGAGAAAGCACATATTTTGAATTTTTTGAAGTTTTAACAACTTAACGGCTTTATTCTATTTTCTTCCATTCTACTTGGTATTTACCGTAGAAAGTTTTTGAAAAAAAATTAAAACAGCGTTGCCAGATATATGAAAATTTATAATTATTAAAAAGGTTTACAGCGTACTTCCATTTCTATAGAAAAACAAAAACCGATAAAAAAATGTTTTGGGGTGGGGTTGCCACCTTTCTAAAAACTTACAATTACGTTTGCATTACGAATTCCGTTGAAAATTTTTAAGTGGTGCTTTTTATGTTAAATTGTTTTAAAATCTTCATTAAAGTGTCTAAAATTGATTAATGGATTAATCGAAAGGGCTCGATTAATCGATTTGAAAACGGCATCTCTACTTTACACTACATACTATGTATAGATAAGACCAGAAAGAAAGGTTACTCATACGCTATGTATCGTACATGTTTATAGACGAACACACAGCAGTGGCGATAATGTACCCAACAAGCATTTCAGTAAACGTTTTTAAAAATAACTTAAATTAAGTTTGCTATAATAAGCGTTAAATAAGAATTTTTAATATTGAGCTTATTAAAAGTTTTTTCAAACAAACCTTTAATAAGTTTTGAGAGCGACTGTTTATAAATAACTTAAACTTATAAATGAAATGTAAATGCCAACGACATGAAGTAGTAAATATAAAATTTTTTCAATCGTAAGTGACGTGTTTACGTTTTTTAAAATATATTATTAAAAGAAAAAATTAAATNATACGCTTATAAAAAACTTTTTTTGAACCTTTATTATAAGTTTACACTTTTACGCTTATAAAAAGCTTTCTTTTGAACATTTATTACAAGTTTATATTTCTACGCTTATAACCAATGTTCCTTTTCGATTATATTACGCTTACTTTCAAGCGTTTTATAAACAAAAAATCAACGTTTTGTAAGCTTAATGTTTATAATTGAAAACTTAAAAAAAACTTTCTTTAAGTTTATTTTGCTTGTTGGGTAGTTTTTATTATTCAAATGTGTTAAAAAAAAATTATCAGCATATTTTGTTACTGCACTTATTGATAATTTAAACAAATTCAGGAGCTAGATCTCTAGTTTTAGAATTTATGAATAAACTGGTAAAATTTTTTCATAATTATCATCCGCCATATTTGACTCGCTATTTTGAATAATCCAAATCTGACTTCAGATTCGTAATCGGCTCCCCATAAACCTCTCAATAGAAAGATTAACAAAAAAAAATGGATATATATTTTTTTAAGTTATCCGCCATATTGGATTCGTCATTTTGAATTTTTAAAATCTGACCAGATTCGTAATTCGCTAAAAACTGTATAACTATTCAACAACTAGCAAATATTTAAACTGTAATTTTCAAACAGGTGGCAACTCTCTAATTTCTTGCTTTCTATAGTTGCGTTCCAGATGCTTCACGATTTGCAGGTTTTTACAGGAAGTCGTTCCAGGTGACCACCTCCCATAAGGTTTATTAATGGAGAAAACAGCTGTTCCTGCAAATCGTGAATTTCATGAATATCGTGAAGCATCTGGAACGCAACTTATAATTTAAGCTTGGCCTTTATCAATGCATCTGTGAAAACTGAATGCGAATCCATGCATTAGTTTTCGAGTGATGCACGTACAAACATACAAAGAGACAGAGAGACAGACATTCACAAATTCTAAAAATTGTTGATTTGGCTTCTGTTGCTCTAAAGAAGAACCTCCATATTAATTTTTCTTTAATATCTATATTGTATGTACAGACATCGGCCTGTTACAATTTTGTTATGTGTATAGATTTTATTGAGCCTGAGGCCGTTTCTAATGAAAAAACGTGGTAGAAGTTATAGCTTCTATTTCGGAGATCACCACATCTCCTCATCAGACTTCTTCAACCGCGGTCACCGGGATATGAACCAGCGAGTTCGGATTTAAAAGTTCGTGGTCTACCCACTGAGTTAAGCTCGCCACAAATTTGGCCCATAGTGCGTTTGGTCGATTAGTCATGGATGGATCCATATATTATACATATGTGTTTATACTAATTAGCTTTTACAATAAATGAAATCAAAAAAAGCCTTAAGTAAAGAAATTTTATATAAAAAATGTATGACCTACCTCCACCAGCATAAATCATTGCGTTGATGCATGGATCCAGGTAGCTGATATTCGCAGCAAATTCCTCCTTCAGCAGCATACTTTCGATACGTAGCTTGTAGCTGAAATTCAAGTGGAAGGGTTCATGATTTTATTTATTTTATTTATGTATTTACTTTCGTATTAATTAATATCCATACTCACTTTGGAACTTCCAAAAGCTGCAGTAAAAACTTTTCCGCATTACCCAAACGGTTTTTGTCGCCATTAAAAGTTTTCAACATATCTAATTCATCGACTTCGGGAAGTATTTTCAATAAACCACGCAGCTTCTCAGCGCCGATGTCATCGTGATCGCCATCTCTTATTAATTGTATGATATCCTCATTAGAACTGAAAGCAAGTGAGTGAAAAAGAGAGAATACAGAAAAATCGTAATAACACAGTCACTAGGTTGAAAATATTAACATTATTTTAAGGACTTGAGTTAAAAGAAGCGTCGGAAATATGTTAACTGAATGAAAAGCAAATAAAGGACTCGAAGCGGAAAAAATTTTTCACATAAATTTTGACCGTCCAGTAAATGCATTGCAGTGATATTATAGACACAAGTCTTACCTTCGAAATTGCTTAAGAAAGATGTTTACGTTCAGGCTGCGTTTACCATCCAACAGCGTTATTTCCGTGCTTTCCTTCTTCGATTTCCGATCGAGCGTATCATAGCCAGAGCTACTGCTGCTCTCACGTCCCAATTTTGGCGAACCTTGGGCGCTGGTGGACTGCAGACAGAAGAGTCCCTCCATTTCATTCCAATCGATGTCCGTCATAGGCGTATCTTGGTGATTATTAGCCACAATTGTCCAAATGTTTTGCTTGCCAATGACGCGATTCGGCGGTATTTTACCCCAATTGATGGTTTTCATCTTCGATTTGGGCGCTGGCGTATCTTGTTGTGGTAGCAATACTAAATTATGACCATTCAAGCTCATATCTGGCGTAACGGGACGTGTGGGATGCGCATGGTGGTTGAGCAAATGCGCTGAGCCTGGCGGTTGTGGTGCCGGTGGTGGTGGAGCACCGGGTACTGGTGGTGGTACGGGCGGTGCTACAAGGCAGTTGCCGTTCATGATGGGCGGGGGTGGCGGTGGTGGTGCTCCACCAATGAGTCCATTCATTGGAGGTGGTGGTATTGGTGGCGGCGGCGCGGGGGGCGGAGGTGTAGCCACGTTGTGCACTGCTGGCGTCGATGTTGTTGCTTGTTGCTGTGAGGGTTGTGGTGGTAGCGGCGGTGGTGGCGATGAAATTGGTGACAGCGGGCCATTGTGTAGCTGCGATGAAGCTGAGGTAGAAAGTGAGGCGGTATTTTTGCGACTAGGGCTGGTGGCGTCACCACGACAATGTGGACAAGAGAATTTTTGTACGCTTGGGGAGCGCAATAGCCTCACCGAGTCCTCATGATTCTCCAGCAGTGTAGCGCGATGTACTAGCTTCTCCGTAGTGTCCCAGATTACATCGCTGATGGCCTCTTTGGGATCGATACGTAATAAATGTTGTAATATACTTAAAAATGGCACTTCCTGTGGCGTGTCAGCCACCTAGAAGTAAAGTAGAAGTAGAAAGTTGCATTGTGAGTTAGGTTTTTTTTTATTTTTTAAATAGATAGCAAGTTGTATGCCTATACGTAGCATATGTATGCATATATGTACATACAAGTATTGTGCATCAGATGCTGTATGAAGCGAAACAAAATTTCCAATAAGCAGGAAAACAGAAATTTTAACAAACTGGTTTATTAGAAAATTTTAGTTATTTTTCTTTTAATTGCAATGCCCACTTTAGTTGTGACATGTTTATGGCGACAATTATCACATTGTTTGCTGTTGTGTCGTTGCAATAAAAGCCTTGTAAAATTTTGTCCTAATATGGAAAGTCTACAACAATAAATAAAATCTAAGTCCATAATTCACACATAAATAGGTAGTAACAAATGGCGTTAGAGCAGTACGTGCGCACATGTGCGGAACAAGTGAACAGCTTGTATTGAATGTTCATGCATACATATACATATATCGCACACGTTCTTCAAAAGTGCATTAACTCAAAATTCACGGCTTGACAGAAAACGCAAAAAAAAAAATGGAGAGGCTATCTTTTAACTTGCTGGATTTAAGTCTAAATGGGAAGCTGTCGTAGAATCCCAATAGAAGTGGAGAGAGCGAAGAGGGCTGCAGCGGCTCTGTACTGCTGCAGGGGATAATAAGAGTATAAGAGATGGAACCTCGATCCTAAGGTTATTTCCTGGCTCTATGAAACCATAGTTAAGTCATTATTTTTTATGGAGTACTCGTCTGGTAACACGCACTGAAGAAGACTACGCTAGTCAGAAAGCTGGTGCGTGTGCAACGTCACGCTTAATATAGCGCCTGCCGATATCGCAGGTAAGGCGGCTGAAGCAAGGGCTGCCTACCTAACTGTTTCGCGATCTGTACACTATAATATTGTTGAAGGAACGTCTTCATTCTTGATAACCATCACATCCATGTAAATATTCATGAACGGAGACGGCGGTTTAAAGGAGGGCCTCTGAACTTTTACACGGATAGACCGAAACTTGGCGGAAGGCTCTTTGGATGGGTATTTTCCAGAGAACTCTCGATTAATCTTAAATTTAGGCATTCAGATAACCGCTGTGCGAGGCTGTTAAAAAGGCAGCAGTCGATTCACTCAGGATTTGCTGATAGGCTGATACCTACTCAGTCAGCCAGGTAGCAATCAGAGCCTTGGGCTTGCTTACGGCGTATTCAAAGCTAATAGGGTAATGCCTGACCTCTCTTCCAGTGAGAGAACATTGAAATGATGAAAAAGTTGTCAAATAGGCATTTTTTAATGCCCAACTTTGCCACTATAATTTGTGTCATTTAACGCCCAGTGGAAATCCGGCATTATATTGGTGCCAGGCCAATACCAGGAGTCACACCAAAAAATAGAGAGTGGGAATTCTTTTGAGTACTTGTTGACTTTTCTTGGAAAGATGGCAGTGGTGCCAATACTGCCAACCCTGGGCGAAAACTAGGACTTTGCTACTGCAAGGTCTTTCTAGTTAAGGGGAACCGGAGAGGGTTTTGCGATCTCCTTAAGCTTACAAATCAACGACTCTCAATTCTGGTGGGTGTATTGATTGAATGCTGTATGTGATTAGCATTGCAGTGTGGTTAAACTTCAAACCGGGTGGAATTAACTCAACACTTCCCCTTAGACTTCCCAGCTTTTGCTAGACTGCGGTTTAAGTCACCTGGGATTACAATTTTCTAACCGGCCTGGAGGAGTTATCCTGCCGCCTGCGAAACTTTGTTCTCAAAACGCCGTGTTTTCGCTACAACACAGGAGTCACCCCCTTCGTAGTGGTATCACAACGGCCCAAAGCTTGTGGTCCCTCGTCTTGGGACAACCACTTTAATCAAACCTAGCCTATATTTTAACTTTGCAACGAACATAATTTTGAATTACTTCTCTGTATTATTAAACGTACGATATTACTATTTATGTGAGCTGGACCGATTTGAAAATATTTCAAAAAATCGAATTTTTTTATAAACACAATTAGCTTTAAAAAATATTTTTTCTAAAAAATCACTTCAGATGATAGAAGAGCTAAGCTTAGAGATTTATATTTAAAAAATGTCTAAGTTAAATAAAAATAATGAGATTTTTGGAGGTATTTTCAAATAGGTCCAGTTCACGCAAAGTTTAATTTNGCTAGAAATACCGCAACTTTTTTTTTCGTGAGGCACCCTAATGTACACGCATACATATTGGATGCCATTTCAGTGTTTTATGATATAAGATTAATGCGTACTGAGTTATAAAAAACATTTTTGGATTGAATACGGATTACCCAAAGCCTTGTGGCCAAAGGATCTGCAGCAGAAAATTGCTGGAGAATAACAATGATTCTCTCTCAAATATAAAATTACTCAATAAAGTATGCAAACGTGACGGCTTTAAATATCGTTTGTGTTATATTTAGTTGGAACAAGGCTCAATGTACCTTGGTTGGAACATTTTCCAAATCTCGTATTTATGTTAAAAATAATATTTCTATAAAAAGTTTTGCTTTACAATTTCTTTATTTGCATACCTGTCGCAATATCGCATAGAATACATCAAGATGTGAGTTCAAGTTGATGCCATTTGGGCCCTGTAGACTCTGAGCTTCGTCGCATTCTCGCTGTTCGTCGAATACGTCCAATTGCACAATAATATCTCCCACACTTTGTGCGACTTTTCTGCAAACGAAAAAAACAAAAACAAAATAGTTAAGTATGTATGCTAAATTAATATTAGTACTTATGCTACATATTCAATTATTTAGTCTTTTATAGGGCTTATATAAGGTTGGTAATTAACTTGAATAAAAAGTTAAATTTATTATTTACTGTCAATGTGGACCAATTTAGAGGACGGCTTTATATTTTTTATTGCAATTTTCACTGTAAAATGGATTAATGTGACCTAATAAAATAAAGTATATACATACATATGTGCTATATGAATGATGCAATTAATAACATTCGTGAGACAATTTATGAGCGGTTGGAAAATCCGATTTTGACAGGGTGTTAGGTATTGAAGTTGGCTGCAGAAAACGGCGAAACTGTCATTTTCGGGTTACATACGAACAAACCTATGCTTATTGTTGGTGTTATTTCTGCATTTGACGTAGTGTTGACGCGTTTTTTTAGATATGCCACTTCGGCGCTAACGCTAGGCGTCAGAAACCGCTCCGCCCAACGCTTTTGTTTAGGTATGGCAAAGAGGCGGTGCTATGGGTCGTGGCGTATGAGCAACACTCGATGAGTATACTCGATCCCGATGATCAAAAATTGACTGCAAAAAAAGTGCTGCTTTTTCTTATTTGGCTAAAATTTTTTACACGACGTTATTTCATGTAAATTAAAAATTCATTTAAATTAAATAAAAATTGTTTAACATAACATTATTTAGAGTTTGAAAACAATTTTTTTTTTTTTCAAATTTGAGAAATGTAGACATACCCTTGGGGTCAAGTGATTTAATTAATTGACATTTCGATCAGTTGTGGCTATTTTTCTTTTGTTTATTTAATGTTTATAATTTTTTATAAAAGTCTAGCACATGACATAACCAACATTCAACAAACTTTACCAATAACACCAAAAATTTTAAAACATTTATTTCGAATTTAGGGTATGCAGTTTTATAGCCCATTAAATTTTAGTAGAATAAAGTGCAAATTTTTTAATAATTTTTTGGCTGACTTACTGAAAAAAAAGATAATAAATTACTTTCTCTACAATACAATGTATTGAAGAATTTTAGATATTTTTGATTAGTGCATTTGATTTGAGGCAGTCAGAGTTCTTGGCGTTGAGTTGGATAAAATTTTGTAGTTTTTCATTAATTAAAATAATACCACGGTAAAGCTCGAACGTACTTTTTGAATATGTTATTCAGGAAATTTTTCTGAATCGATCAAACTTTGTTTGCGAGGACCGTCAGATTTTTTGGTGTGCCCCCTATTAAATCGCGTCAGATTGACTACACTAATTGTAATTTTTTGGTTTTGAAAGTCTTTTTTATGGTTGTGTTTGTAATTTTTGCAGCAAGAAATATAATTTACGAACAGATGTATAAATTTTTACGATTCCACTAAAAGTTGTGTATTTATTTATGTATGTATGTATGTATATATGTATGTATGTATGTACATTTACCCACTAAGGAGCAACGGTTTTGATTTGTCCAAGTAACAAATCCCGTTTATTAAACACTTTATTCACACAAAAAAAAGTATTAATGAACAGAAGCAATAATAGCTTGCATGCATTCTTGCATAAATATGTATGTATGTGTATTCCATGTACATACATACATACGTATGTGCTCCACTGTATCACATTTTCACACAAATGGATATGAATTGCATTCATTCGCGCATAGATAATACTCACTTTAGATTGTTCACTAGTTGCAAGCTGCGAAAATTATACTTCGATAAGGAACAACAAAAGGCAAGACGGCCAAGGCGTTGTATATTTGTCGCCTCCACTGCACAGTCTTAAGCTTTCAGCCTCAAAGGAAGCCGCAGATATGATGAGAGGCCTTGACAATCGAAAATGACTACTAATCGAGGAGAAAAACACTGAATAGCCCAAACTGAAAAAGTCTAACCATTTATTTTATGGACGAAGTCGCTTGGTAGCTGAAAAAGCCTCAATTGTAGACCTTCAAAGTATGTGCACACTTTCTAAAACTTATTAATATATATATGTATTATGTAAATTTTTAGCAATTTTTTGTTTTTAATTTATTACAAATTTTCCAATTTCGGAGACAGGACACCCACCGACAATGTATTTACTAAACTCATTTATATTTGCTGCCTCCAGTGCCACGATTTGGAGTCGGGCAGCAGCCGACTTGCAAAGGGCACGAGCTATACAACTAAATTTTTTGTTGCTTTTAAAATTTGTTTATTGCTGGTAAATTTTCTTTTTGGATTGCACGTGGTGCGCGCGCATAGAAACGCGGTTGCTTCTTCGCACGATATAAACTCACCCGTGCAATTACTCCACGCGTTGCTCATGAGAAAGTTCAAACATGCTTAGCACGTGATTTTTGGTGGCCAACAAAAAATATATGTATGTACATAAGTACATTCATACATACAACGCAACTGGGCAGTTATAGACAGTATGCTTATGTATGCACATTAGGGTGGTCCAAAATAAGTAATGTCGCAATTTTAATGCTCTCACCCACTAGGATTGTTCTATATCGAAAAAAATATACCTCCATTTTTTATTTTGAAATAAAAAAATATTTAGAGATCGCTCAAAGCGCTCAAAGCTTTCCATGTATTTTATTTATATGGGTAAAAACAACTTTTCGTAGAAATGGTATGGAATTCTTGAAAATCAATATTTTAAATAAATAATTGGGTATTATTATCGGGAATCTCCTGAAGAGAAACCGAGTTTTCCGATCGAAAAATATTGATTTTCCCATATAAAATACATGGAAAACTTTGAGCGCTTTGAGCGATCTATAAGCCCAAAGAAATCTAATGGTGTGATATCACACGATAACATGCTGAAACCAAATGTTGCCGACATCATGGGCTTTAATCTCAGGCAACAAAAAGTCCGATATCATGGTGCGGTAGCGCTCGTCATTGACGGTGAATTCTGTATGTGGCCAGCATTTGAATGAAATTATTTTTTAAAATAAAAGTCAGAGATTGTTCTTTCGGGTAATAATAAAGATTCAGACATCCGTTCTATTTTGAGTGTTTTATTTCAAATTAAAAAAAAAAACGAAGTTCTAGATGGATCACCCCTTATGTTCAGACAAGTACCGAAAACTGTTGTGAAACGGATACGTTTTTGGCTGGTTTTCTGAAATTTGTCTGATTGAAAGTTTCGTTCAATACGCTTTGCATGTACACTTAACAGATGTTTTTTAGGGTTCGAAAAAAAAACAAAATAAACGGAACTATCTGACGGAATTCGAACTCGACAGCTTCTGAAAGTTAACAAATAGTGGTACGCTCCTCTGCACGCTCAGCCACATGCTTTCAAATGTTCAGCCTCAACAAATAAAATACAATTATTACTTTCAAATAGCATCATCTTGTAATAAGTTTTCTGTTTGTTTCCGGATACGGAAAATGTTACGAGACCGCTGGCTGGGCAAGGAGGCTAATTACTCCAATTTAAAATATACAACTTATCTCCAACAAGAAATAAGACTATTATAGTTTATAAAAAATTACTGTACCTTTGATTGACTTAAAGCTTTTTACCAAACAAAAAAATGAACCAAGTTTAAAAAAATATAATACAAAAGAACTGAAAAGCAAAAAATTTTGATACTTAAATTAGAAAATTTTATTTTTTGCTTTTAGTTCATTTGTATTATTGTTTTTTAACTTAGTTATTTTTTTTGGTAAAAAGCTTTAAGTGTAAAAGCCTGCATAAAAATCTGCTTGCAAATAACTCGTAAAAAAAATAAAATTATCGCAAAATCGGTTAATGAAATATTAAAAATCGAAAAGTCAATTTTGGGTGGCCCACTTGAGAAAACTTGACTCTTATGTAAATATTTATTTTCAATGTAATCGATATGGATTAGGCCGGGTGCATAAGGAGCAAAGGCTATTTTTTTGTTTTTATAAATAACTCGCCTCGAACAAAAGCGAATACTAAACCTGATTTAATTGTAAAACTCAAAATTTGTAGATTTCATAACAATTCAGCATAAATTATTATGTTTTTATTTGTGTGAAAATGCTCATTAATGAAAAATGTACTCCAAACAATATCGTAACTATGTAAACCTAGCAAATATTTAGCTACTCATTTGTGTTAAGCATGAAAAATCAATTAAAATAAAACCCTGAATCAATTCAATACAAAATATTTAGATAATCTGAATAATACAAACTAATTATATGGTTAATATGCCAATAAATTGGTTGGCGGCAAAACTACTTACGCACATTTTTAATCTTACTACTGAAAAAAAAACGAAACAATTTTCATAACAATACAAATGGTAGATTTCGCTGTCAAGTACTAAACGCCTTTAAACTGTTTACTAAATGAACATATGTAGATACATGCATATGTACGTATACATGCGAAAATGCCCCGTAGGAAAAAATTTTTATCAGCTTTAAGATAATCTGGTTTTTATTATTTTATTTTACTTTGATCGTACTTATGCATTTGTGTTTGTACATATGTATATGTAGTTGAATTCACCAAGCAAATGGTAGTGATAATGGTTGTAGTAATAGTTATTGCCATAGTTAAATCAATGAAAAGTTCTATATTCTTGGGTTATCTGAATCTGAAGCCCGTTTTGCTCCATTACGTCAGGATTTTTTTCTATCCACAAAAAACCTTGCGAACAGACCAAACTTACGATCATGGAGTCAGCTTTTCCAAATTCAAAGCGGTATGGCAATTATGACGGTGGAATTTTATAAAAATTATTGCATTCATATGAATTAAAGTAGACTTTCAAAATTCAAAATGGCGGGTCGAATTTTGAAAAAATTATTACATTTGAATGAAACTTGGTATACAGGCTTTTTTATGGTCGCTGATTACGAACATGAAATCAAATTTTTAAAACTCAACTTGTCAGAATCAATATGATGGTACAATTTTTAAAGATCTGTTTAATTTTTCCAAAATTTGGTACCTTTGTATGCATATAAGTTTTTGACTTTGCCCAGTAC